AGAGATAAAAGTATTAATATTTGTTGTTTGCACACATTTCCGAACTACTTGCATATTAGACATATCGTAGACAGTGCTAAATGTCCCATAAATCTTTTTAATTTTATTAATTATTATAAAAAAACTAATTTTTTAGCTTTATAAATATTGTAAAATAAATGCATCCATGTCTTGCATTTTGAAGAGAATAACAAGAATCATTCTCTTTTTCCCTATTCTCATTATAACAGACCCATCTACATTCATAGTAATTTTACTACCTGTACTCCATTTTCATATTCATCAATATTTTTTTTTATCATTGAATGATGATAACAGACAAAGTGTTGCTCATCCACAGTCTTCATTGATGCAACTGAAAAAATTCACCAATTTTCAAACGAAAAGATGTTTTGTTATCTTGCCTTTAATCGCAATTAAAATAAACTGAAACAATCTGTGTGAATATGCTTTATTTAACCTTATTTTAGTGAATTTATTTTTTTATTCTGTTCTAATGAACTTTATTCTGACGAACACATAATTTTTAGTAAATGATCTATCCATCATTCTGGCTGCAGTGATTTAAAACAGAGAAAACAAAAGCAGTAATTGCTGAGTCATTCTCAGTGCAATGAAAATATCTTCCAGAAATGTTTAGTCAAAACCTCATTCAAAAAAAAAAAAAAAAAACGAAAATTGCTTTTGTGTACTTCTACATAGCTTTTTTTTTTCAAATTCTCTACCTCGTTTTTTTCACGGATTTCTCCACCTTGCTTTATTTGGATTGTTTGCTAGCATCCTGAAATGTTATTAGCACAGAAAACTTTTTTTCTTAATACATGAAATAAAACACGTTTGCAAACGGTTCGTAATTTGTTTGCAATTGGTTTGTAATTAATTATAATTAATGCAATTAATTGGATTGCAACACATACGGACACCTTGCTCCTTCCACCGAGGAATGATTTCCTTACTGGGTAGAATTTGCGATAAAAATGAATTCAAATCCAAAAATGAATTGCAAATTTACTTAGCTGATAAAATTGTAAATCTACATATATAGGAGAACACAGTATAGGAAAAATTGTTATACATTGAAGTATGTTAAGGCGCTCTATCCCTTCCTTAGATCATTTGACGTGCCTTATTTTTGAAGTTGATTGTTAAATTAAGGAAAAATTGATTTCTAATTTAATGGTTTTTTAATTATCATATCATTACGATATCTGAAGTGCTTCGACAAAGCGACAAGAGTGTATAATGATACTAGTGTACTGGTTATCGTTCAATAAAGAATGAACAATTTAAAGAGTTAGTTCACTTTTAGTTTATAGGTTTCTCTTTAAAATACAGCAAAAGAAAAACTAACCATATTTTAAAAAAGAGAAAAAGAAGAAAAACTAAGCATATTTAAAATGCGAGAAAAAAAAAACATCAACCTATCGAAATCAACTGAAATTTGCTGAACTTTATTTAATTTTAATTCCAAATAACGTTAACTTATAATATGGCAAAATTTGCAATGTTAATCTGAAAATAACATTGACGTTGATTTCCCAGATTTTGCAGAAGAACAGGATTTCAAAATGAATTAAGCAATGCAAAATGAATTGGCTTTTTCGGGTCGGACAAAATTTTCGGAAGAAGCTAATTTAGTTATTTCCTCTTTTTTACAGCTGTCGTCTTATGAAATTAAATATGAGCAAAAGGATTTCAATGAGGCAAATTACTACCTATTCAGTAGTAGCGGCAATGAATAAATAATAATAAATCATTTCAAAAGGATTCCAACACTCCAATTATTGTTCAATTACTTTTGCTGTAACGAAACATTTGGCACTAAAAACCTTCTGTTATAGAGTTTGATTTGTTACTAAGCTTGAAGCATAAGCATAATAAAATGATAAACAATATTTGGACAAAGTGATCATACTTTGAATGCTTCCCCTCATTAAAAGTTCGAATTATGCTCTCACTGATTTACAAATTTGAGAGGAAAAGTTTGAGATCTAATTTTTTAATACATATCGCAACCGTTTATGAGAGGCAAGCAGTAAAATAAGTTCATGGACAATATATTGTGGTAGTGTCGGTAGTGCTGTCTACATCCTCTGATCAGATAACCAACAAACAAATATTTGTAGAATTCGTGTTATTAGAAATATACACTGAGCAGTTCTACTTCTGATAGCATTATTGGAAGTATTTCCCAATTTCAAAATGATGTAAGAGTAGTTTGAATAATAAAAACATTAGAATAAATTTTTTCAGTAATAGTCAGAAAAAAGATGAATTTCGCGAAAAAAATGTAATTAAATTTTAAAAGATGTCGAAAAATTCACTTGAATAAGTTTAATTTCATTAAACCTATTACTTTGATAATACTATAAACAAATAATTGGACATCGCGCAGTTGGATTCTTTAATGAAGCGAAATTTGAAATATTTGACAAATTCATTTTTATAATCTGTATAATTCAGAAGTACATTTTCTGAAGCTGACTTAAATGTACTAAATGTGATTAGAAGTGTTGTAATTCAAAAATGAATACTTTAGAAATTTCCGCAGGTGGTGTAGCATGAGAAGATCACGTGATTACTTTTTATAGTGCAAATGTCGAAATGATATTAATGATATTCTTGCGGTCCATGTTCCGGACATTTTTCTATGATTACTTTTTACAAGTGCCGTACAAAAATCAGTGAAAATGTAAGAATGAGTGCTGGGCGATGTCGAGCAGCTGCAAGGTCATCCTGTATTGGGACACTATCGTGAAAATAGTAGGTACACTGTGACCGTGATTCGAATAAATACTGACGAAATTGAATAAAGTCATTGCATCGAAGTATTCAAAAAAGCGTTATTTTCATGGTATGTATTTAATTGGAAGTTTGCTGAAAAATCTTCCCATGAAACTTGAAAAATTGATATATAACTAAAATTTGAAATCCTGAAGATTTCTGAATTAAGTTACGAAAGACGAACAAATGAATAGCATTAAAGATAGAACACAATAGCATTACCCAAGATTTTCAGATACAAAAAATCATGTTGGGTTATATTCTAGTTGATTATTATGAAGTTGCGGTTTCGGATTAGTTCAAAATTAATTGAATAATTACAGCATCAATATTTTTTTGATTTAATTCCTGAAGTTTTTAATTTTCTTTCTAAAAGCGTTCGAGGGACATTAAACTGCATTTTAATTGAGAGAAATAATTTCATGCTAGATTTGGAAAGCTATAAGTTTTGTGTTTGGAAAAATTAAGAAGAGAATGACGAAGTGACCAAAATTATCGTCTCATTGTTGCTACTTAAGAACTGAGATTTTTTTACCTATCCTTTAGGGCAACGACCAAAGAAAATTTTTGATAGTGTACAAGAAATGATTGTATTTCTTGCAAACGTTACAAAAGAATATGACTGCATGATCTTCACAAAATTTTAAGAACTGTAACAAAAAATATCTCTCCTTTTAATTTCTTGGTCGATTCATAATAATTAAATGATGATAGATTCTTTCAAAATATTATTTCATATCACATCGTCGCCAATTAATAGTAGATAAATATCATGAAAAAGTATTCTTCCATCGATTTTGTAATGTCACATATGTATTTTTGGATACGAAATGTTGATGTATTTCGTTATTTTGCAACTGATAGTATTTCATATTTTATTTTCCTCTCTATCTTTTATTTGCTTATTTCGGAAGACAGAAAATGAAAAGATGGATGAGATAGATGCAACAACTCTTTCACTTTCAAGTACAGATATCTTACTCGAAATTTGAAACAAATTATTATTTCATATTGATTAAACTACCATAATGAGTGGGAACGTTTGCACTGGCTTTCATTCGATAAACATTTGTATTCATTACCGATCAATGTCGCAGTGTAAAGCAGCCAGATGCATCTGTAAGTTTGTTTACATATTCAAAATAAAACTCTTATCGGAAATAGATAATTCCATAGTACTCCTTCATTAGTTCGATTTCAACAACGACTTGTTTCTACACACACTTGATCCTTCACTAATTCAAAAAACAACTTTTTAAGATTGCATAAGACCATCAACAATCAATAAATTTGATTTTGTATTCTATGAAAAAATTCATATATGTATGTTAGAGTTGGGTAGCGAAAATTTTCTGGTCTTATCCAGAAGAGCTAGAAGAATATCGGAAATATTGTTTAATAGATACTATTTAGAATTGCATTAGAATTGCATCTTCTATAAACGTTTTTATTTTGTCAATCTTCCACTCGCTGTAATCTTTTATCTTTTATTTCCAAGTTCTTCGCAGAATTTTGCCAAAATATATCTCTAATTAAATTTTCAGAGTTCAGGTTGTATGTTTGTTTGTTTAGGTGTGTATATATAATGTGTATGTATGCACCACATTTTCATCAATTCGCACATGTTTCATAGAAATAACATCGATGGGAAAGACTTGCAATCTGTCTCCTGCTTTTATGGTTCATTTGTTGACTAGTTGTGGAGTGTAAACTAGTGTCATATGTCGTTAATGATGTCATTAGTCTATTGAAATTTCAACTTTTGAATCTGAGTTTGAGTTTCTAAAAGTAGATAAGTTGGAATTTGTTCCTCAATGGAAGGAGTAGTATAATGGAATATTGCGTTACGTTGCTTATATCCTGTTCGTAATAACTGCAGAATTTTGTTATTCTCTTTTAAAAAACACAATCACAAGTTTTTGTCCCTTGTCATTCTTTTGCTACTGATGGGATAAAGAATGACTTGGAACAATTTATCCTTCCCTGATGTATATTTTTGAAGTGCACATATCCGAGTGATACCAAAAAAGAAATCGGATTAGAGCTCTCCGTCATGTAAACCCTGTGCTGAAAAGCTTAAAAGTGCATGTCCAAAACAGCTAAGGAACTGGGTTTCTGCTAATGCACAGCTCAAGGATATTACTACTTGCTATGACGAGCGCATGTGGATCATTTCCTGTTATTTGTTCAGCGCTCTTACTCCTTCGATTCCGATCCTACTCCTCTCTACTACTACTACTACTACTACTACTACTACTACTACTACTACTACTACTACTACTACTACTACTACTACTACTACTACTACTACTACTACTACTACTACTACTACTACTACTACTACTACTACTACTACTACTACTACTACTACTACTACTACTACTACTACTACTACTACTACTACTACTACTACTACTACTACTACTACTACTACTACTACTACTACTACTACTACTACTACTACTACTACTACTACTACTACTACTACTATACTACTACTACTACTACTACTACTACTACTACTACTACTACTACTACTACTACTACTACTACTACTACTACTACTACTACTACTACTACTACTACTACTACTACTTTATACTACTACTACTACTACTACTACTACTACTACTACTTTTTTTTTTTCTTTTACTACTACTACTACTACTACTACTACTACTACTACTACTACTACTACTACTACTACTACTACTACTACTACTACTACTACTACTACTACTACTACTATACTACTACTACTACTACTACTACTACTACTACTACTACTACTACTACTACTATACTACTACTACTACTACTACTACTACTACTACTACTACTACTACTACTACTACTACTACTACTACTACTACTACTACTACTACTACTACTACTACTACTACTACTACTACTACTACTACTACTACTACTACTACTACTACTACTACTACTACTACTACTACTACTACTACTACTACTACTACTACTACTACTACTACTACTACTACTACTACTACTACTACTACTACTACTACTACTACTACTACTACTACTACTACTACTACTACTACTACTACCACTGATGGTGGTGGTAAAACTTATATCATACTAGCATTACTAAACTGGGGTAGTGTCTGTTCACACTGAGCCTTAACGGAGTTCTTATTCTGTTTGAAGAATAATAAGCAATGTGTTGTTTACAACTGACTGTTTTTAGCGGTAGATATTAGAGCACAAACCTCCTTCTTCCCAAAATGAGGGAAGTATGGACCATCCGTAGCTCTATTGAACATTGTGAAACTCACCATCATCGATTTATATCATTTTCCATCCATTTTAGTATTATGCACAAATATCGCAGACTAATGTTTTCCCCTTTTCTATAGACTGTCCTGATTGTTGTCGAGAATTATTCTCTAGACGCACTTTACGCAATACATCTATCAACCGGGATGTTTCAAAAATAGATATTCAAAATTCATATTCAAAAATATTTGAAATTACTGCAGTATTGTGAATGAACGGATGGTGGAGAATTTCAGTTTCAGCTGCAATGTCATTTCAGTCTTCTCGGTTCGTCTGTTTCTGAGTTATACTGGAACTTACTTCTCGCCTCCAATTGAACTGTGTAATGAGTGATTCATTCGTGTTGACTGCTTGTTACTTGCCCTATAAATGAAATGAGTGATGGATGATGCATTCACGCTCTCTGCAATGATTGTTCAGTTCGGGGAATTGCTATGAGATAACCCATCCGTTAAGCGGAACTGTCCCTCAGCAAGTTCACATCATTCAGTTAGTTGCGCATTGAAACGGATGGATGGTCGATTCGGTTGCTCCCACTAACCCTCTCTCGAAGCTCATTCTTTTTCTCGCTAGCACTGATTTCGAATTGACACCAACTTTCCTCATATCATAACATCTATTTTATGGTATACGACAAAGGAACACTAGTAAATGATATTTCTAGATATCATGGTACTTCATCTGAAGAGCTAACTGCTGATGAGACGAGAGGAAGTACGTTGAGTGATATAAAGTGAGAACAGTGTTTTAGGGATATTGGCTAATTGTTCTTCACCAGTACTTTTATTGATTTCAAGCAAAAAAGCATGAAAAGGAACAGTGATGTTTATATTACTATTAGCTATTATATATTTTTTTTTACCTTTGATTCATTTTAGCATTGACTCAAATTTGCAGGCTCACATTTGTTGATGAATCAAGAAAGTGCAAATTAAATTGGTGAGATGTTCACAAAAAGAAAATCTGGTAAAGAGAAACTGTATTCATCATTATTAGGTGTTGATGAATGAATTGGATGACAGGGATACGTAACATATACATAGAGGACTCGTTACCGGCAACAGGTACCTCCTGAATATCCTGTCACCTCAATTTTTCTCATACAAGTATTCGGTCTGTATGTAGGACATAATTAGTTTCGTAATGATCCCTGCATCACTCTTTGACGGTTCGTTGAAGTGACTACTAAATTTGTGGATGCGATGTGATTAGCTTATGGGGTTGCAGCGTGTTCACTTTGGCGAGTCAAGCGTGATCACTACAGTTGTGCCCTACGTGGTCACGTTAAACTGTTTCTCGTAGCTAGCGTTTTTCCGATACTTTACACATTGTCGGAGTTACGTCTCTAAATGGAATAGAATATTTATCCATAAAGTAAACAGTAATTGTACGGTATGAGTTCCACTATTAAATAGATACTATGGAACAGAGTACAACTGCAGAGCTATATCTTCCAGTCTTACGAATCCTCTCCGCAAGATGGAGCTCTATGTATAATTTGTTAATGAGTACCAGACTTGGAAGGTTTGTGTATTCAACTTCTTCCTTATGGTAGTAATATAACCTGATTGGAAATAGAAACTGAAATGTTTTTCTTTGGAGGACTTCAGACACAGGTACATATATATGTATATTTAGTGGTTTTCGATAATGTTTCGAAAATCTTTTTTTTTTTGATTTTTAGGGTCAGCTACTTTCAGGAATGGGAAGAATCTACTTACATATTTAATGATTAGTAACTTGACAGCCTGAAATGGTTAATGCTTTACTTATTGTAGAAAATATTTTTTATATACAAACAATTAATATTGATTCATTCTGAATATTTGTGTTATCGACGAAGTTCTAAAAGAATACATATAATAAAGGAATAGTGATATTCATGTTCCACCTACCATCCATGGAGAGTGCGAACTGATTCGACGCAGCAGAGATAAGCAGTCTGTGCTAATATTTTTTAGAGTGTTTCTTCAATTTTTTTCTTTGAGTATCCAGATTCAAGTCTTTTATCGTATTTAGTGATAATTCCTACTCTCTTGTTTTGCAGCCCTCGCAAGAATACATTTCTCAATTGCAAGAAGACCAATTTATCCTTCCTTGTTTCTTACTTCAGTTCTGCCTCGATTATAATAAATGTCTATTAGTCCAGTGTTCTCAATATCAAATGTGAGATTGAAGTTTATGAAGTCTTGTATTTTTTGACATTATAGGCAGGCATTGCCCTTACTCTGCAAAAATCTTATTCTTTTCATGCATTTTGCTATTCTTTTCAGATTTCTCATAGATCTAAAAACTTGCCAACAAAATTTTCATAATTTTTTATTTTTCCTATTTTCATAAGACATTGTGGTCATAGACAGAGATCATTCGTTGAAGTTCAATTTCTGAGTTGAACAGGATGTTAAATCGATATGGATTCAGGAAGAGGGTTTTACACACTCCCAGATTCTATGCATATTTGTATTTCGAGTGTTTTTGTTAAAACTTTGACAGAAAAAAAAGAAAAAACCACAAAAACTTGTTTGGTCAAAAACCCTAGTTCTAGTGGCATTATTCGCTGTAAGAGAAGTGTGTTAGAGAGAAATATGAAATCAGGTAACATGCATATTCTATTTCTAAAAGTTCTGAAGATACCAGTTTCTAAAAACCCATGCGATTATATTCTTTTTCCTTTGATGTCTGCGTTGCATGTGTTCGTCCGGTCAGTGCATACAGTATAACTGCAGTGGTAAATGTTTTTCTTCAATTCAAGAAAGAAAATAACGAGCCAGAACGCGGATTACTGGAGTGCAGGCACGGTGGCGGGAAGTAAGGAGCACTTGGGTACCGTCAAAAAGGCGAGTTTATCAAGAAAACAGGGCTGCTGCAGTGATACGCAGTTAGCAGGAGCAGTTGCAGCCGTGATTTCGCCATTTTCATCGTCAGTCGTAACTGTAAGATATGTCATCGTTGAGCAGCGGCCACAGCAGTACATCAAGCATGAGCAGTACCAGTACCGACCTCAGTTCTTGCAACATTGTATGTTTTTTTATTTCTTTTCATTAAAGAAATGTTCTTTCTTTTATTTAAATATGACGCCTCTTGATGACGTTCTGCCAAGTCCCTAATAGTTGGTGAAATTGGTAAAGTGAAATTTAGACGCATTACGATAAAAATTGAACATATCTTGCTTCTACATTTTTCGTTCAAGCACGTGCAAACAGTTCTTATGAAATTATTCTATTTTAGTTTTCCTCATGTGCAGTTTATATGTGGTACTAAATGTTGTTTGCATGCATTTAAAGATTACCGTTTTTGCGTGTTATTAAAAGGAAAAGAAATTAATACAAAATACCACTACAAGGTATAAGGTGCATGTGAAAGTTGTTGGATTAGATCATAATTGGAAATATCCAAGCTATACATGTGCAAAGCATGTCCTATGATTTGATGGGATAAATTTTAGGTATTGTATTTAATCACGGCAGTTCCTTTTAGACCATATTTTACTTGCATTCATGATTAATACTTACTTAGTTTGTGAATTGCTATTTGTAACGCCCACAAAACTTTGATTTTTTTTTTCCCATTTTTAACTTTCTCTCCATAAATTGCTAGTTGCAGGAATGGTTGCACTGTTGACTGCTTGCCTTACCTTATAAAGTAAGACAGTGAACTGAAACAAAGACAGCAATTTTTTATGCTACAAATAGCAAAAACAAATATTTGTATAAAATCGGTTCACAAAATAAGTACTATAATAAGCATACATGCAAGTAAAATTACCTAAATGGTTTCTTTGTGAAATATTTATGCACTGTCATATTTGGTACAGTACTTCTTTTATCGCAGTGTGTTTGCGAATGATAATTATCGCGATGTTACGAACGAATGCATATATGTGAAATACGTTCGATATTATCTCAAGTGATCTCAAATGCATGTGACATGTTAAGCTTCTTCATTAGGTGCACAGGTTCATCTCTACCCATTACCTCATTATTCGGCTTTACGAGAATAGTTGTGGATGCTAGAAATTAAACGTTTGTATTCTGTTAAGAAATTGGTTATGATCTTGATCTGCATGATATTGCTAAATTATAAATCACTGTTCCTTCGTAATATCAATTTTGTTGCCTGTTAATCCTCAGTTGATAAATGTATAATTTTGGACTAACAATAGATATTTTCATCACTGAAGCTTCTTTTCTTTTACTTTTACACGCTTTTGAATTAAAATATGTTATCTGGCTACATTCAAGTTGTGCCATATTTTTTGCAGCATGTTTTTTTTTCTATTTGCACTGATCGGTTTTTCTTTTCTTACGTCAGATTCTTACAAGCACCTGTTCGAACAGACTTGCTGATATGGTAAATATATATGACCCATTTTGTTAGCGCGCGGAAATAAAAAAAAATATGACGCACTGCAAATCTGTACAATGAAATTACGTACATGTGAATTAATTGCATGATCCATTTAGTTCAGATTATGCCTATAGCATAGTGTTGGTGATGTTGTGGCTATTGCTGCTCTCTAACTCTGTCCACTGAAGAGATCTACGGTACCGCTTTAATGAAGTAAAAATAATTGCGCAGAAAATTTTCCCAAATTTAGGAAAATTTTTCTAGGGAAAAGTTGAAAAACTAAATCATATTAACCAGATCTTTTATGTTATTTGATATCATTTAATGTTTGTTTTTTCACCTTTTCCCGATAATTGAAATGCAATTTCAAAGAAGTGCAATGACTTGGAAAAAAAGAAATTCACCATCAGGAAACAAGTTTGATATTTTTGTATTTCTGGCCCTAACGCGTAACTCACAAAGGAGAGCAGCAAAAGCAAATTTGAAAAAGCGCCATCGAGAGCACTACCACATAACGCGCCGATTGCACCAGCATCCAGTGTTGCGCTCCACTGTTACTGTCACTACCACTACGTATCAGTTAGAAAAGAAGGTAAAGCATACCTTTTTTTATGCTGATAATGGCTCACTTTTGCTGTGTTTTGTCACATTATCGTTACTCTCCAAAAACAATACTTCAAAAATTAGAAGTTTATTCTCATTCTTCCTGTTTAATCAGTGTGGCTTTGAATGCCCAGATTTTTTCGAATTCTTACCATGATATTCGTTTTCAACTTAATAAGTGAAATGAGAACGTTAGAATGAAAAATCTTAAAATGTGGTTTAAAAAAAAAAAAAAAAAGTTGACCTGTTATCACTGATTGATATGCAGAAGTTTTACTTAAGCTATCATGTTTGCATATAGAAAACTGCAAGCACTATGTCAAGAAGTTTTGGAATTAGCTGCATCAGCTGTCTGTATTCCATTCATTTTTTTAGATCAGCTTTAAACTGTCACTAATTGCACATGATGGGAATGGTAAATATCTGTGAGAGCTAAAGGACGCATTTCCTTTAAAATGGAGTGCATTTAAATGTATAAATGTTTTTTCTTTTTTTAAGGCAACAGTTTGTGAGTACCCGAAATTTTTCAATTCAGATTGTTGTATAGTTGAGTTTTTCTTTTGATCGTTTATTCATTTATATTTATGAAATAATTATGAAATGATTTAGCCATGTCATATAAGCGGTCGTATTGCATCACTCCACATGACAGCATATTGTTTCGATGTACTCTATGCCGCCCTACGCAATCATCAAACTCCTAAAATACCTCCAACAATTCCAAACGATAAATAGTAAGTTTTCTTTGTTAGATTTTTAAGATGTAAGTTTTTATATAGTTTTTCTGCGGAATTGGAGAAATTTTTCGCTATTCATGAAAACACATATTTTAAAATAATTTTGTTTTTAGTTGCATTTAATTTGAATTCTAGCCCGCTGTTTGTAACCTGGAAGAAGGGATATGATCGGCGTTTACGTGGTTGCATTGGGACGTTTACTAATCTTGTGTTGCATAAAGGTCTACATGAATATGCTATTATAAGGTTTCATTTATTCTTTTATTCTCAGATTTTATTATGAGTTAATATGCTAAATAGTGTTAAGCTTTCTCTATTAAATACTCAATTATCAGAAGAATTGCTCTGAAAACAGTGTGAATTGTCGCTTGAAAACTCAGAACACATCTGTTTAAAATATCATATGCATAACATCTATTTAAACGTGTAGATTGCATAGATATAGTGTCATCTTTAAATTATCCTTTCGGTTCTTGATTTGATTTTTCACATCACGTCATCTGAGAGTTCTTATTTTGAAACAAATGGCATTGTATTATGTTATACCTTCAGTTTCTATCTCTTGGAAGAATCATTCTAGGTACTGCGTAATTTCGTGAATCACAGAATATTGATTATGTACTACTTGAATAAAGTAGCTATTGATACCATATTTAATGAGGTCTTTGAATTTGTGGTTGAAGTTTTTGATAGTTGTGCAGTAAATTACTTCCGCATGCCCAAAAGATCACATAAGCGGATTGAAGGATTGCACTTACCGCCCAAAATCATTTATTTCGTTATGGTTATATTTTTAAATTTCTGAACGCTGTGTGAAGAGAGAATGAAGGAAGAGGGTTGGGGAAGAAGTGCTGTTAGAACGTGCAAATCTCCAATGGATCGTTACGATTTAAGAGATAATTTCAACCTGTAGTACAGATTACTAAAAAATCAAATCTTTCAGTTCCATTGTCGGGCAAGTGCTTTGGTGCTACTTTGCTCTATCCGTCAGTATAGTTATGTCATTTGTAGTTCTTTATGGGCAGTAGTGCTAATTTAATGCTCTGTGCCTGAAAACTATTTTCTATACGAGCATTTTTTTATGCGACAATACTGTAAAATTTACTCTAGATGGCGCTTTTGGTAAGCAAAGAAACGTGCTCAGAATCTAGGTTCCACCAAGCTAAACCCATTTTTGCTTGGGACCTAGGTAAACGAATCACACTTGTTCGATTCCAAGTCAAAACATGCCGTTACTGTTCGTTACGCTGTTTCATTTACGTACTGTTTTCTCGTTTTTTTTTTTTTTTTTTTTTTTTTTTTTTTTTCCTGGTTGGAATGATGTTTTTAATTCATTCCTGTGTTTCGTCTTTGGAAAATATTTCTGCAATCGGTGAAGCAGAGGTTTTGATGGTACACAGTAGCGATTTGCCGCACTATCTTCGGTCTCTGCTTTTTGAGTTATAATATAGTTTTTAAAATTAAAAAGAACATTTTCACAGTGTTCTGATAGCTCTTGAGATGATGACAGATGAGTTTTGTTCTATTCATAATATTTAGGACTGCAGAGTTATTCTGAGGGAAAAATTAACTGTTTAAATAAACAAAAAATATCATAAAACTTACAAATCAAGAAAGTTTTTTCTACCAAAACTGAAACAGGAGCTAAAAGTGCATTAACCACTCCTATAATTCTTTTTATAATTCTTTCAGATTTTTTTTTCTAAGATGTTCTGCTCAAATTACATCCGGGTTTTTTGTTTTTCGTGATTGACTCTGCTTTTTTCAGTGCCTTCAAAGATTCACGTTTTGATCCTATCACTCTGCATGAAGTTGACCAGTTGCATTGTACTGTGAGCATCCTAATTAATTTTGAAAAAGCTCGAGATTATCGAGACTGGGTTGTTGGCATACATGGGATCAGGTTTGTAGCTTTTTGATTCGATACTGTTAGAAGTGTGATTAGATTATGGTGATGTAGAATGTTCTGTTTTGTTTTGATTTCCTTAACAAGAGAGTTGCATAAGGTTGCCAGGAATGTGTGAAAAAAATGTGATGTCATATTTATTTTCCCGTTTGCTTTAATTTGTTCTGATTTTTTAAGTTCATAGACTGGCTTGTTCATCTGTTTGTCTGAAAATCAATGCAGAAAAACTGATTTTCAGGATTGAGTTTCAAGACAATCATCATTATCGTGATGCTGTATATCTCCCAGAAGTTGCTAGTGAACAAGGTTCTTTGTTCTTCCTTGGTTCGAAAGTTTATTGAATTCGATATGTATTTCATTTATAATTTGCTTGAAAAAAAAAAATTAATATTTTTCAGGTTGGGATCACACGGAAACGATAGATAATTTGATGCGAAAAGGCGGTTATCGTGGGCACATTTCGGAGGAAACACGAATGAAAGTGAATGTTGTCAGATTTCAGTCTGACAAAGTTTTAATGAGTTACCAGGTACATTCAGCGCTTTTTCCATGAGACAGGCTTGAAGTGCACTTTATAAGATTGGACGTGATACTAGACATGCAAGCAGCAATAATTAACTGATTTTTCGCACCTTTTATGCAAATTTTACAGGAGTATGTAGACTATAAATCAAATTACGGTGAACCGTTGCTAACCGATCCTGGTGGACGACGAGGTCTTTTCCATTCTTGTAGGCCTTAATACAATTTCTCTATAATAATTCGGAATAAAGGCATTTGTAGCAAATAGCAGTTTTAGCCTGCATCTAAAAAGAACTGTTTTTTTTTTTTTTCAGCATATCAACTATCTTAAATTGACCTTTATTAGTGTTTCATGCACTCTTGGTCAACAATTGCTATTTGCAACTTTGCTTTGAGAATCTATGTAATTGATATCTGAGTTTAATGATAATGACGTGGAGTAATTTTTGGTATTTTCTATGTTTTTGAGATTATTCTAAGAAAAATTGTTTTATATCTGATAATTAGAAATAATTTACTGCAGGCTACTCTGTTATATTTTAATTCTTCCCTGTCTTTTATAAGCGGGTTAATTTGCTTAATCTGTCGTTCTTTCAGTTTTCAGTGAGCAAGCCTTCAAATTATACGATTAAGCGCATATGTTTTGCTTCTTTTTATTGCTGTTGATTTCCCCTTCAGTGTAGGGTTTAAAAATATTCATTTCCTTTTAAGCAAAATAACTTTCTTCTCATATAGATTTTAAAGGCGTACAGTAAGGAAAACAATTTATATGATTAAAAAAACTGTGGTTAAACTTATCTTTGAATAATCAAGTGATTTGTTACTGGAATTACTATAAAATCCAGAAATACCAGAAAACTAAAATTTTCTCACAGATTAATGAAAACATGTTTACTATTTACTACCATAACCAAGAAATATTACAATAGGGTTTGGCCTGAATTTCTAATATGTCTTATGTTTTAATCGCTAAGATTGTGGAAGAGGCTATAAGAAAGTATAAATAAAATATAACAAATTAGGAATGAAATTTATATAGTTCTTTTAGTTCTTTGTGAAATACAAATACAATTGATAAATACATAGAATAGGAAGTATTATCGTGTATTTAGGAGCACTTATCATTTTGATATCAGTTTACTACCTCATTTGGAATTAACTTCGTGTATATTTAGCTGTTTTGTAACTTTCGATTGTCTTTTTTGACTAGAATGCTGATTTGTAGCGATTTTTATCGTTTCGCTTACAAAAATGAAAAAAGAAAGAGAAAAGAAATTTTTTTCTGATATTAATCGTAATTTAGCGTTTGTTTTCCCATGTCATCTATTTGTAAGCTTTAAAGTAACTTTTTTTTAAAAAAAAAAAAAAAAAATTTCTTATCTTTCGAAATTTTGTTCCTTTCCCTGTTTCCTCGTAAACCTTTTGTTGAATGTTTCTGCTATTCTTTCTCAAAATGCTCCTTACATAGTAATTCACTTCATTATTCGCTTTTCTTCCTTTGATATTTCATTGTTGAGTTTACGGTGTAGAGTGCTGTGATAACATACAGTTAATTCATTCTCTGAACAAGCTTTTTTAAAGGAATTTCTTGGCTTCATGATTTTTTTGACTTTTGGAAGCGTAGAATCTAGCATATCACAGTTCTCTGTACTGCTTATTATTTCAGTAGTAAGTCTATCGATCAGTAGATAAAACTAGAGGAAATCTTTCATGTATGCCTTCAGCAGTCTTTCTAACATGACAAATAAACATGAGCTGAAATTAGGATTAAAATCGATATAGTATGTTTTGTATCAAGTGGGAACGGATGGGTAATGGCAATTTATCAATCACTTCCATTTCCTATCTTTGAAATGCTGTTTCTCACTGAGTGAATAGCTCTATGTTTTTAACTGCCATACTCAATTTAATTTTTGTGCTCGCACTATTGATAATTCCGAAATTTTTATGTCATTCTAGATGCCTGATTTTTTTTTTTTCGTATGTTATTGTCAAAGATAACTACTGTCAGAGTTGACCAATAGGAGGTTGGTATTACTTTTTATTGTCGGTTTCGGCCGACGTTTAGGTTTATCACTTTTATCCAATATTGGTCACTTTGTTGTGACGATTTTGATGTGTTTTCTTGAATTTGAAAGTTTGGGATTTTTTTCTTTTTTTTTTTTTTTTTTTGTGCTTTCAAACTATTAATTACTTTTGTATTTGGCAACATTTTTGATTTTTTGATATAGATATTGCATTAGTGACATTTTTTCTTGTTCAAACTTAACATGGCGGATTCAAATTCAGAACGCTGATTTAGAGACAAATTCAAATGTATTGTTACCAATTTTTTTTTTATCTGTCGATAGATTTATTTCTCTGTGGGCTCCAAATTATTACCATATTCTTAATATTCTTTCGCTATTTGGTATTACAGGTTTTCTTTAACCGGTTTGCTTCATAACTCATTTGACCATTATCAACAGTAAAATTTTAAATTTTTGGTATGTGTTGTAAGGCATCTAATGTTTTAAAAACCTGACATAAAAATTTCAGATTTTCAGGAAGAAAACCAGCTGGTTGTTTCTGGATTTTGAAACAAAAAAAAAAAAAAAAAACCAGTTTTTTGGATTTCCGTACACCTACGCAAAGACATAAGCGCTGTTCAGGAATGGCGTGTCATTTTTCCGTACCTGGGGCTGACCATTTTTTTTACAGTAATTTGCTTCCGAAATGACTGACTGACTAAATATCACATTCGATATTTTTAATGTCCGCTTTAATGCCTTATGGCTCAGTACTGGTCAATTTAAGGTCCGTCCCTCGTGTACCTTTCATCTCCATAATTGCTAAACAAACTCGTAAATGGTTCTCTCGCACGTAATGTAGAGTGGTCACTTGAACAGTTTCTCATTAATTGTACTTGATGGTGCTCTTCAATAACACAAACATGAATTGATGATATTTGTTATAAACACTCCATATCAAACACATTAAGATCCCTGGTTGCTTACTGGTTCGAATTTTTCACTTCCATAATTTATAAATATTTTAATGTAATCAATTCTTATTATAAAGCAATAATTTGCTCCTTTTTAATCTCGAAAACTAATTAGCAGGTGAAGATTAGGTGGAAATTAAAACCTTAAATTCTTGCAATGCAGATACTGAAAAAACGGATTCTTGGGTGAATAGAAACATAATCAATAGTAAAATTATCAGAAAAAAAAATCAGATTAGACACTCAAATCATTCTTTTTCTGTAGTAGAGTCCCCGTAAAATATATTTCTGAATTCATTTTTTTCCCCTAGCAAAAACAACTTGAAATAATTATTGAACGTTTTTGTAGGCATATTTTGCAATCGTAGAATCATAATTCTGAACTGATATGAAGGTTCAAGTGTTATTTCAAGCAGCTGCTGTGATCATACTTGTATTGAATGTTAAGGTATGTGATCCAGCAAGCTATCAAAGTGGCTGTTACGACGAAATTGCTCGTTTTAAAAATTAGTGAATCATTCAAGTATGATGTAGGGAACCAGTATTCTTGCAATAATCCTTGTGAATCGTATTGTTATAATTAACAAAATCAGGTCTCAGATGCTTGTGCGGAGCAATTGCAACGGTGTGCCATAATTACAGAAGAATATGAACGCCTCATACAAGAAAGCAAACGTTCTGCATTCCAAAATTGTTTCACTAAACAAATGTAGGCTTGAAAATTCCATTTTTTAAGGTCTAGAATCTGACTTTGAGTTATGTTTAGCATTATTTGAAAAGCTTACAGTTCATAACCTTTACCGCGGGTTTTTAATCATTAACTATAGATGCAGTTATGAGCTGGCATTGTTCGAAAATTGTTTTGAACGGTCGATACGTGCAGTCCGAGCTTCATTCAACAGAGAAATTCTGAGATCCGACAATTTTGTCGATTCTGCAGATCGATATTTATCTGCTTTGGAAAACTGCTTTGATATTACTCAAGAGTCAATACATTTTCCGGATTTCAAACCTACTTTAATTGACGGTAACACAGGATAATTTTTAAGGTTAAATGCCGATAAATTCACTTGAAACTAATACCTCTCTAGTCGAAAAATTATGACAATTTAATGGTGCTATGGAGAGGAAATGAATTGTTTGTTGCTTGTTATTGTTTATTGTTACAGAAATCACTTCTCTGTGAGGAATATTTCACTTTGCGCCTATTTTTGGGAAGGTATAATTCAATTACAGAAGATGCCATTTACGCTCGTACGATCTATAGCGTAGAATTTGCTGATTATCTTTGGGGATTACCTCAACTGGTTTCAACTTATCCATACCTCGAAAGCTCGGCTGCATTGGTTTGCTTAATCAGAGTTGGTTATTGAGATTTCAAATGTATATCATTAGAGAGAATACTTACGATAAGTTTACAAGATCGTAACGATATCAGGAGCCTAAGAAGCAATAAGAATATACTTTTAAAACAATAATGGATTTATTTTGCACTATAGGAATTTTTCAATTGTTCTATGCCAAGAAGGATTTGCTCTACATTCAACACAAATGTTCTTTCAAAATTAGGAGACTTGTAGTTGTAGGAGAAATCAGGACGAGTCTTTGGCAATGGTATTAATAGGTTTATCGATTCGGTGGATTTGAAACTGTATGTTATTTTTGAGAAATCACTTTCTTGCTGTTAATTTTTGAAAGTTTAGGACACTTCTGAAAAAAAAAAAAACCAAAACTTATTCTGTGAAATTTAGAAATAATGTAAATGACTCTTGTCTTCTGGAGGAAAATGAAATACAGTGTTATCGCCGACATCTTAGTAACGATAGATTTTATCAAGAGCTATTGATTGACAAAGATCGTGTTGTCAGATCATGCATTCGCAGGTGAAAAAATTTCATTCGCTAATTTGTTACATCCTAATATGAAAACGCGAGCATGACTTTCTTATGACCATTTCCATAGAACTGAAAGTTTTTGATTGGTATGTTAAACAAAAGAAGACAATTAAGATGGTATTATTAGCATATGGCTTAATAAACAAATTATTGATTCTAAGTCTACGCTAACTTCGAATCAACTCATTCCTTTGTATAAATCAGCAGTATTTTGTTTCGAAAATGATCAGCTTATCCTGTTCGTCCTTTGCATTTTCAATTTTAACTTTCAAAATATTGAAAGTTAATTGATGAAATTTATTATGCGATTTAAGAACCGGAAGTACTACAGAAATGAAAAAATTAATTAGATCTCAAGTCATAACAAACATTTTTCTTAGTGTTCGTTTGCAAACACAATGTCACTCAGCAGATGCTTCTCGGCTTCGGGCTTGCCTTTGTAGTGCTCGCGAGGAGTTTGAGAATCGTATCCAAGCTTCTATGTTACAATGTGTTCGACAAAGTCATGCGGATCATTTATATCGCGAACGTCAACAACCACAGCGGCAGTGGTATGAGCAACAAAATGAACACTTCAATAAGCCTATTCTAAGTACCGGTAAGAAAGATCATTAAATCATGCAGCATAATTTCTAACAAGTGTTCCTTGAAACTTTGCTCCATACTTGCTGAAAGACGATAAAATGAGAGTCTAAACTCATATAAACTAACACGTGTCCCACTATTTTGTTGTTCTTAATTCTAAAAGTTACTACTGTTTTACTATAATCTAAGAAACTCTAACTCCCAATTATTCTAGCACTATTTGTCACTATAATGTAGGCTGCATACTTTCTTAAAACAAGCAGATCCTCTCTCTAGAATTCCGGTGTCAAGAATTTCTGGCATCGTTTTGAACAAAAACAGTCTGTGACAACATTATCTTTGACATTTTTTTTTTTGCAGTACTACAAAATAAGGTGGTCAGTGGAACATTTGTTGAGATGTAATTGGTACCTTGAAATTACTATCATCATTGTTAGACATTAATTATACATTACTGGCTACATATGGACTGCTTACAACTTGAAGGCGGATTTATAAACAATGATTTACAACAGAAAAGTCAGGTGTACCCCCAGAAGATTGCATTAAAAGTGCTGAACAATTTTAACAGTCTTCTAAGAGGTATTAAAAATAGGTAATTCAGCACCTTCCCACCTTATATGAATTTTAAGATCTTATGTTTTCGAGTTTCCTATGATATTGAGGAACAATACGGAACGACCAATGTCTCTGCACTTGTCCATATAACTGTGTGAATTTTATGGATCAGGAAAAACTAAAGCGACAAATGCAAACAGATCCCATAAACGGTCTACAAACGGAAAGTCAGGAACAAATGGTATGCAAGGAAAGATTTTTTTTGAAAAGTAGTTCAGAGAGCAAACAACATTAGTACTAAAGTGAATAATGTGCCTCAACATACTTCAAATTTATATATAAACTTATACACGTGTAAATTATATAATAATTAGGACTTCAAAAAGCGGAGCGACGACAATGGTAACATCTTTTTGAATATGATATCAAAGATATGACTAAGTTTTTGGACAAATAATTGTCCATTTTAAACCTTTATGTTGATAACAACATTTTCCTATACTAAAAAAAGATAAGGAAAAATTTGCACGTGGGAAAAAAATTTTTATCATTCTTTTTACAGGGTTATTGTTGTAAGAATGGTAAAATCATATTAATTAAAAAAAACTACCTCATATTTCTTAATTCCATTTTCGGGTATTTTTTAGCGGATGCATTCACAACGCCGAGGCTATTGGAACTATTTTGACAACTATGTATTAAAGCTGAAGAAACGACGACGATGGTAGCTGATAAGGAAATGAATCCGATTTTAGACTTTCATATCAAAAATTCTTGAATTTTTAAATATTAGATATTTTTGTTTTTATACGAAAATTAGCTCAAGATGAGATAGAGGAACCTATGTTTTTCTCCTAGGAAGTTTATATAAATCACGCTCTAAAAAATAAGGTCTATCATTTGCATTTAAAGAATATGTTTTGTAAATGTAATGTTGGAACACAGAGAGATTATAATTCAGGTTGCTAAGTGCTTCTATTACATTTCATTAGAATTTGGAGGATCTAAAAACGCAGCTTTAAAATTTAGTCTAGAATAAAGGAATTTTGAAATGTTGCACGCGCTGACATTAAAAATGCAGAAGTGAAGACCTTATCTCATTTCGTTCTTGCTTCGAGACGGAATCGTATTCGGAAATTCCAAAAAGGGTGGGCCACTAAATAAACGGAATCCATGTACTGCCTTGCTGTTTTGGAAACGAACAACTGCTGTCAAGTAAAGTCAGACCTACACCGGGGCCCTAAAAATAAAAATCTCAAGCTTGGAAAATGGCATTGCAGGTTGATATATTTCAAATTAACTACAACCAAGCTACTGAAATGACTTTTAACTAAAATACTATCAAAAAAAGACATAGTCTTGGTTGAACAAAAATTAGTGGAATTTCACAACGAAATCCCAAATGCAAATTCTTGCATTATTTTATACTTTTCCTTATATTTTCGCTCTTCATTAATTAATATCATTAGCCAAAATAGAAAAATGTGAAAGTGGCATTGTAGGTTATTGACATATACGTAGTATACCAGTAAGCAAGAACAAAAGATGCGAGAATTTCGGAAAATAAAACTTGTCATCTCCAACTTCTATATGCTCTAATAATTGTTCTCTGTTAAAGCGTACTCGTTCTTATTGCTAAAAAACTATGCAAATTCTGTTTTCGCTTTCCTGATTCTGTGTTGAGGCAATTAAAAATAAAAATTAATGGTAAATTTATATGAAAATGAGCAATACAAAATGTAATCTTGTGCATAATACACCAAGCAAAAGCAGAAACCACGAAAAAAAACTAAACCAAAACATTATTAGATGAAGAAAAAGAAATAAAGAACCTCAGAGATATAATAGACGTCACATAGATTTTGCAATACAAAATAATTTTTTAGTCTCCTCTATACAACAGAGACATTCAGTTAAACTAATTTTAAGCCAATTTAGTTTGGGCAACAAAATCACCAAGCGATAAGGAGAAATGCATATAAATAACCACAAAAGCATAGTAATGAATATAATAAATATAATAATGAATATATTCAAATGATTCCGGAACCAACAGAATGATACATAACGTTTTAGTTAAATAAGATAAATAAAACAAATACAGAATTTTTTTTTGAAGCAATCAATCATAGAATATGAACAAGGCTGAACTGCTATACAAGCAATCAAATTTTCATTTAAGGAACACGACAGCAGAATTAGTTAGTTCCAAGGTAAAAAATGAAGATTCCCATCACAAAACTTTCTACCTGAATTTTTCGGATTTCGGGTTTTCTAGAACTTTTGATTGCTGCTATGAAAATTGAAAAATGGTTTTGACGTCTATAAGAATGGATAAAAAGAAGCCTGAAGAGAAAATGAAATCAATCTCAAACTCAAATATACGAAATCTAGGTGGACAGACAAAATTCTTCATTCTGCATCGCTACGGTTGATGATGTCTTTTGAAGCTTAAGTGGAACTAAGTTATAATACAGTTTGTTGTGCTGGTGGAGCTACTATTGTATTACTACCATACCTGTGTTGTTGCTGGTGGCGGTGCAACCATTAAACAGGCCTACAGTAATGTGTCTAATGCGCTACAATTAACCGAACACAAGTGCGATGTATACGATATTTAATTTGCTTACAGAAAAAGAACAATCTAAATTGTAATAGGAAAACAGCAACATGAGTCGTAGCTTTATCTTTTTTCGATTCCTTTGAACGCAAATTCCCACTTTTTATAAAAAAAAAGATGAAAATAACAGCAAATATTTTTAAATCCCCCTTTGAAACAATAGAACGTCAAAATATCACGCAGTAAGCCATTATGATCTGGAAAAGCTATGCATAAATCAGCTAAAATCATAATAATTTATAAAAAAGAGAATACTTGCATCGGTGCGTGCTCAGATTTGCAATACAACGATGCACTGAGTAAGTGAGCAAGCAGAAAAACAAACCATATATCAAAAATACTTAAAGTTGAAAATATTTTTTCATCGTTCTCACTTTTCCTCTCCATTTTCTTACGTAACAGCAGCTAGTAAGAATAACCAAAAAATAATAAATTTTCTGTTAAAAAAATCACCCAGAAAGTTCTCGTTGTAAATCAGCCATATGTTGGTGTGCAAGAGCATAAAATGACATCTGAGATTCGACGAAATCACGTAAACACTTCAAATGGTTGTTCTGAAAACCCCAAAGAGTATGAAAACAAATGAGTTTGTACCTGCACTTCCTAAAAAACCGAATTTGAATATTCCACAGTTGAAACATTTACTAAAATATTCAGTTTTCCGATAAAATCGTAAAAATTTGCTTAACAAAAATTCTAACGTGAAAAAAAAAAACATATTTACGTGAGCGGTTTGTATTCCTTCAAGGAGTAGTTTTGTAATTTCTGCCTGTTTATCGAATTCCGCTTGTACCACACGTAAATCAGCTTCTGCCTGTACATAATACAGATTATTATCTTGACAAAAATGATGCGTGCAATAGCAATGCAATTCAGCAACCAGAAAAACTGAACATAAATCACATATGTCTAACAGTCACAAAAAAACTATTATCTTAATAGATAGAATACATACATCATGTTCTCACCATATGCATGAGTAAGCTTATCTGATATATGCCAACCCAAGCAATCAAACTACTTCACAAAATTCAGCTACAAATAGTTTATAAAATATGTACTACCAAAACAAATTTCTTTCAAAGACTCTATCGATATGAAGTTATGCAGTGATATTATTCCTGCTAATCAGACCATTATGGCTTTATTTTATACTCCATCTTTTTATACATGAATTAAATGACATATTGGATCTTTTTTTCGTCATTTCAATTAAACGATATATTGGACATCCATTTTCTAACATAATTTTGCGTCATTATTTCATGAAATACTAACACAACAAAAATCTCCACCATAATTCCAAATACATTTAAAAACCATTGCATACAGTAAAAAAAAAAAAAACAGAAAGACCAGAAAAAAAAAAGAAACCTGTTCCGACGAGAAAGAACTTCCTAACTGTAAAAAAGTAAACATAAAATAACAATTATTAGGATACAATATTAGAAGGATAAGACCTGATTCAAATTCTTTCTGCTTCTAATTGTAAATTACCATCACAGAATTTAGATCAAAGACTACCAGTGTTTAATTTAAATATAAGCACGTTCACTACCAAAAATAATTTTCTTTTGAAATCACTACATAGTAAATTTTTTCTTAAAAATATATAACAGAAGCAATACAATCTGTAAAGTCTACAAAAAATGAGCACTAGTGAAGAGTGCAAAACTTACATTGCCCTGTGCTTCTACTGACTTCGCTTTCCTTAGTCGGCTTTTGGCCGCATCCAGATCCAAGCGCTTTGTATTTAGAACTTTTCGTTCACGCTGTAAAAATTAGGTTTGAAAGGTAAACAAAATACCATGAACTTTTTGAAAACATTAGTCAAAATAACTTACTTATGCAAACTTGATATGAAAAAATCTTAATAGTTTACGTTATATTACACAAAGTTTATCTAATGAGAACGTGAGCATGAGACTTTCAAAAGCACCTGAATAGTTTTCATGTCACCCTCCAGGAACCGTCGTACCGGCAAAAGCGTATTGGTTGCACAACTGTTGATAAAGTCCCTTTCTCCCGCACCCAGTTTGAATTCTGCTTGAGCTATCTTCAACAACGCACTTCCTAAAAAATTGTAGAATTATGAAATTAGTGTGCGCATCGCTAAAATCTGCATTGAATTCATCACGTATTTCAAAACGAGACAGTTGTGTGCAAAGAATAAGGTTAAGAAATATTACGAACCCAGAAATATAAAAATGATAAATTCCCACAAGCTCGTTCACATTTCTACTGTTTTGCAACGCTTTCAAATTTCTCCCACTACTAAGTGAATGTGCAGAACTCACTAACACAAAAAATAAATCTCAAATGATGCAATTCAGCGATCCAAGATTTTCAGTGACGACCAATATGAAAGAACATAAAAACATCAGCTTCGCAACTTAAATCATATGTGGCACGAATAATAAATGTATTCAAAGAAATTATACATCTGTTTATGAATTCAAGAAACAAAATGAATAAATTTAAACTTGATAACAAATCGATGTTGCTTTCTGAATGAGTTTACGGGTTGTTTGGTCATGAATTTTGAATTTAATAAAACTTTACCGTATGGAGTGCCTGCCCCGAACTCGTTACCAGCATCGTTCATTGCTTGTGCCAACTGCTCCAAATTATTTAGACGACTTTCTTTGCGCAGTTCCAGTTTCTCGTAAAACACTTCTTCCATCCGAACTGCTGGAATGCTGGTTAATATGAAAGTCTGCCACAACAAAGGAGTTTGCATATTCGTCGATAAAAAAGATTCTATATTAAAAGATTCGAAACCACCAACGCATAACTATAATATGTCGACCCCTAAGTAAGTAAAATACAAATTTCAGGCTAAGGAGATTCCAAAAGATTACTAGGGTTTGGCTGAAGATAACTTTCCATGGCAGAAAGTAATCGTTTCGTGTGCTCCTCTGTTTTATCTGCTCTTTGTAGCAAATTCTCGAAGTGTGCATCAAGCTCTGTCTTCTCAGCTTTCAGAAAAGTTTCTTCTGTCAACTACAATCAAAAAAGTCCATTGCAAACAGCATAAAAAACGATATAGTTAACTAAGAACAGAATAATACTTTGTGGTCCAGGATCACCCACTTCTCGTGCTTATTATGCTATACCCAGCCCAGCTTAGCCTTTATCCTGGAAATATTTTTAGAAAATATTAGCACATTAATCCAGGAAAATAAAAATTCTTCATATAACTATTGACTAAACTGTGGCTGCTGAATCCTAGTATGTTACAGAAACTTTAAATTTGTCAAGTTCTTTTAGGAATTAAATTTTAATGTGGAAAATACTTACTACCCCAAAGAATACATATTTTTTATGTCATATAAACTATCCACCTGTTTAGCGCGATTGAAGAAGCCGCTGGCATCACTTGCAATTTTCTTAAAGTTGAAATCCATCGAGTATGAGGCACTGAACCTTAAAAAAAAATTACAATTTTAATTGTGAATTATCTTTATGCATTACCAGTACAGTCACTTTCCCTTTCCTCTTGCATTTGGTTACAATTTTTAGTCTCATCAGTTCTGCAACTAATTCCCTCTCTCTCTCTCTCCTTTTCGATTCTTCTATCCAGGAACAAATTAACATTTTGTTTACATCCATAAATGCAATTCCCCTAACATCACCATTCCCATATACCTGGGTCTACGCCCAGTCCCCGTATAAAACAGTTCATCCTTCATTCCGAAACTCAAAAACCCACCCTACGTGCGAGACTGCCACCTGTGCAGCTCCTGCGCCCAAGAGGAACCAGCAACTCACCCCTCCACTCGGATATATGTGTGTTTCGGTCCTCAGACATAGCCGCTATGAAATAAGCTGGTCTCATGGAAAGAAACAAATCTATTGTGACTGCTAAAAGGATAAGATCCCTCGAAATTTAGCAAATCAAGTAGCATTTTATGCCTTTAACTATAGATTCCTTGTAAGATTTAAACTGAGACTTACTGCTAGGATATGAAGAATAAAAAGAGTTGCCAATGCTGTGTAACGAGGAAAGAATGAAGGAAATGATTACATAAATGATGAACTTATTGTTTTCTACCTATCCTTTTACTGAAATGACATCTGGTTGACAACCACTGGCAACCACTAGCATATGTCTTTTATCAAGAAGTTTATCAAGAAAATCAAATTATATGTCTTTCAAACCAATACGAAATTAGTCAGCGATTTTAAAAACGGATCCATAAATCAAAGTTCCTGGAATTTGCATATTTATTTTTCGCCCCATCTCGGCATAATATAGATACAATTCATGTCTTGAAGCCAAGATTCTTTTTTGATTTCTCTTTTGAATAGATAAATTGGCTTTTACCTGCAAGATTCATCAGACAATTTCAATGCAGTGACAGCAATGTCAGTGCTGAGGGAGATAACATATGACGAGTAGTGCTTGTTCTCGATGGTTTATTGATAGATTATAATGATAATTACCATTGGTGTAAGCATACCAAATGGCAGCTTTAATAATTCCATAAAGTATGTATCGATTTGAATTACAGTAGATAATAAGAAGAACGGAGGAACTGAATGACAAAAATGAGCAAGAAAAAGACGGATTTCCAACATTTCTGTTTCACAACCTTATCAACACTGCTTAAAAACCACAAACATAAATGTGCAACATAAATACTACGTAAACATAGATGATGAAGTGAATGTTTATCGATATGTCATACGGTGGTTTACATATGGATGAGACCAAAATAAGGAGGCAAGTGGTGAAGTAAGCGCTTTACTCATAGAAGTAAAGTAACAAGCCTAGATGGAGTAGACTGCCACGATAATTCAGAACAACAACGAGAATAATTAGGAGGATAACTACTTGCTCATTACTAAGACATGAAGAACACAGGTATGAAATACGTGCTTGAAATTTATAGTTATAATGAATGTCGCGTAGCACATAGAAAGAATGAAGAATTGAAGTTAAAATGATCAAAATGCTTGAAAGTAGGTTTTAGCCAGTTTTTTTTTTTTTTTGTTTATAACTTAAAAGACTATACATATGAAATGTAAGTTATATATAATTTGAAAAGCACTCTCGAAAAAATATTATTTTAAGTTGGAAATTATAAGAGGTCATCGGAAATAGTATGCTCATAATTGCAATTCAAAATGAATGAATTTCTTCCCTAAGAATTCGCTCTGATTATTGAGAAAAACAAATGTGATAAACTGTGTTAATAGTAATAGAAATGAATTGTTATAAGGAAAAAAAGAAACAAAAACTTACAGTGATCTTTGTTAAATATGTGTACAAACAAATCAGAAAGATAAGCTAAATCAAGCAGTGCAGAAATGTTACGAAGACCCTTCAACAACACCCAGCTGTGATGCACCTAACCTCCTGGTTCACCCTTAACAAACATCATCCCCTAAATTAATCCATACCACACCACACCAACATCAAATTTATCCACAATCACAAACAAAACTTGCCCTCCTTCCTGGGAAGGCAGCCAAAAATGTAATAAAAAAACACACACACTCAAAATGAAAGATAAGCAGAGCAATTTTCCTATTTCAATATGTTGTTGGTTTAGCTTTGCATGCTGTCATTTAAAATGTGTTCTTTTTGCCTGCAATTGACAGTTTCAGGCCTAATTCAAAAATAAGGCAGTGAGAAATCCTAATGAACTTTAAAAATAACAGTCTAAATGTTAGGTACTAACAATGATATATATATATATATATATATATAATGCATCTGATTGATATCATAGAAATCAATTTAGTGACAAATATTTATAACTTTAACAAATGAAAGTAGGTTTTAGCCTGTTTTTTTAAGCCTCAAAAGTTACCCTATTAATTTTGGCTGAAGAAATGTGTATGCAATTTATATAGTACTAAGAAGAGAAAGATTAAAAGAAGAATACATTAAGGAGGCTGTGTATTTAAATGTGAATTGTATTCTTATCTAAATAATGTTTTTGTCTCTCAATAATCCAATCATTTGTTATCTCAGATGATTTCAGTAATCCATTACTTCTTGCTTAAAGTGATTCCAAATAAGTCAGTTTTCAGCTAGAGGAAGTAATTGCGCTTATAAATGATGCTATGTATAATTTTCTTTATGGTTGCTATTAGCAACGAAATTTTGGCAAATGTTTGATTTCAGTTTATAGCGAATCAAAAGTGACAATGTAAGTTTGCTCGAATTTATTAAATTGGACTCTGTATGAACTTTAATCGATTCCTTTGTTTCATGAATTTTTCACTCAAAATAACTTTACAGAGAAACGTTAAAATGCGATTGAAGGTGACGATGGCGCGGGAGCCAAAACATTGTGATTCGGTGTTAGCAGTAGCGTGGGCGAGAAGTGACGAACTAGTCAGTGTTGGAGACGACCAGCAGGTGTTAAAATGGAACTTAGTGAATAGCGATGTTCAGGTGTTAATGCACTTACCCAGGTTTGAATGATATTATTTATCTAGCTAATTTCTATAGTACTAATGTTATTTTGACACTAACTGTGAAAAATAGCAAAATTTGAGTATGGAAATTTTTAAATTTTCTGATCAGGCTAGAAAATATTGAGAAATTTCAGTTCTTTGTATCCGACAGGTATGCAGTGGTTTCCACACGATGGCTTCAAACAACAATTGAACGATGTATTTGCTCTGACATCCACGGAAGGTTCCATGTATTTCCATAATGTATTTTTATTTTTGAAAGACTAGTTTTTTTTAGATAACAGCAGAACATCCAGAGAATGTTATAGAAATGTTTTTCGAGAGTAAGCCTAGTGATGCTCATTCGGTATCTTTGAAGTCGATTGCAAATTTTAGGCAAATTTTACATTTGCAATCGAAACGGACGCATTGAAAAAGCTGTAGAAGCTCACAAAGGAGCAGTTTTATCCGGTCGCTGGAGTCACGATGGTTCTACTTTTGCCACTTGTTGGTTCCTTCTAATAAACTTGTTAAAAAGTTGATTTTGGACAAAAGTGCTAATTCAATTCTTTAAAAAAATAGTTTTACCTTTTATTTATTTTGATATCAAATGTCAATTGCAGTATGAACAAGGAATTTCCTTCAAACTCCGATCTGTATTTTGATACTTAGTTCGGAATTGGGAGGGCCAATAACGATATAAATGCAAAGAATTTGATATTGAGGTGGAGAAGATGGTGCGGTGAAGATGTGGTCTCGAAATGGTATGCTCCGAAGTGTCTTGTTGGAGAATGGTTGTCCTGTGTACGGGATTTGCTGGAACAGCGATGATTCATGCATTGCTTTTTGTTGTGGTGAAAACTGTTCCACCAAAGTTCTCAAGTCGCAGGTGATCGTCGAATTTCAACATTTTGTTTTTTTATTCATCCACGAGTTTGCTTTAAACAAAGGTGTTGATTGTAAAGTATTCACTACAGTCATATTTGAAATCGAGCTGATTACAATTATTGCAATCAGGTAGGAGCGGAACAACAACCGAACTTTGAATTTTATTATTGGCTCTCGATAATTTCACTTCAGTTGTGATGAATTATTAAATTCAATTAAGCTTGCTGAATAGTTCTAGTCTAGCCAGAGGTTTTGCATGTATATGGGACGAATCTTTCTCTCAACTAATTCAATAATAAAACTTCTCTTCTTTTCATAGTGTACTGAGTTATGCTGGTTTTGAATAGTTCTACCAGTTCCTTCATTTCTGTGCAAGCTTCAGATATCGCTTATTAGATGGAAGGCTCATGATGGTATAGTACTATGCATTGACTGGAACGCCAGTACAAATCTTCTAGTGAGCGGTGGGGAAGACTGCAAATATAAGGTGGCCTTTTGTGTACTTCAACCACACAAAAATTATCTGCAAAAATAGATAGATTATCAATTTCTGCTCTTCTAACGACCAATTTTGTTTGTCCAACATATAGCCGAGTGGCACTCGCTAAATGTGGCTTTTTCATCCAAATAAATGATTGTAGTATAGGTATGGGACGAATATGGACGTCCAATATACTGTAGTAGTCCACAAGACTATCCAATCACATCAATCGCATGGAATGTTGATGGTGATCTGTTTGCTGTTGGATCTTTCAACCTTCTTAGATTATGCGATAAAGCTGGAGTAGGTTCTTTTGAACTGGAAAAACCAATAAACTTCTAGTTTACATCTTGCTGTTTTCCAGAAAGATTATCCTATTCAATGTCGTTCAGCTTTTTTCACTATGATGATATCAGAATTGATTTCTGATGTTTGTATTTAATTCTTAAATATTGCAGTGGTCTCATTCATTAGAGAAATTATCTACAGGAAGCATTTACAATATTAGCTGGTCACCAGATAGCACTCAACTAGCTGGTGCATGCTCCGATGGAAGCGTCTTGCATGCTTATTTAGTTGAGAAGTAATTATATTAAGATTTTTCTAAAATTTTTGCACAACATATCTTTTTTACATTTCTTCTAGATCATCTTTTGCTAGTTACTGATCAGATATAAGTTACTTAATAACTGCTAGTTAGTGATCAGAAATAAGCCTTAAATTTCTTGCAAACTCGTCATTCTAAGCAGTGGCTTTGGACACATGTAAACACTTAAATAATATTGTAAACTGTAGTGCAGTAATACAATTGCAAACTGTAATGAAAATAAATTTTTGATTAAATTTTATAATTTTAAGACGAATTACATGGCGAAATATTGAAGCGGTACAAACGAAACGTCAATTAATTGATATTCGTGATGTACTTTCTGATGTTGCTTGTGAAAAGTTGGAACTACGAGATCGAGTCACAAAATTTTCTCTTGGTTTCGAACAGCTTGTGGTAGCTACTACTAAGCAGTGCTACATTTTCAGGCTAGTTTTATTGAAAAACCATCGAGTGATCAACGATAGATTAGGAAGTGTAAGGTAGCTAATTTTCTGAATATCAATAATTACTATTCTTACTCTATGTGAAATTTCAGTGTAAAGAACTGGAATACACCGATTATAATGGATTTAAAGAATTGCAATGTTTCGTTGATTATGCTTTGTGAAAAGTATACGCTTTCTTTAAATCTCAGTTTTTCATTTCCAGTTGTTTTCATCTATAAACATATTGTAAGAGAAAATTGAAAAATATAGTAAGAAAAAATTGCAGTGGCAAGAGATAGAACTTTTGATCCTTTCAGAATCAATCACGTTTTTGTCTGTTTGGAACGCTGTGAAGTATTTTTGTAGGTATTTTCTGTTGATCGATGGCGGTCTAATGCAGGTGTACAATTATGAAGGTCGTATGCAATGCTTGCTGAAACTACCGGCTATGAATATATCCGGTGAAGCGGCAAATGAGAAGACGGCCGCTATTTCAAATGATACAATAGCTATTCGGGATCGAACGGATTTGAAGACTGTATACTTTTTTGAAACAGTCACTGGAAAGGGTGCTGGCAATGGAAAACTTGTACATACTGTAAGGATTTTGGATTTTCCATCAATGATTGTAAAATTAGACTGTTTCAGGTGGTCTTCTAGTAGTTGTAAGATAATCAAAAATTAGGTCAGTTTCTAGAAATTTAAATACTTAAAATTTTTGCTAGTAGCATGTATTTGTATTCTTAACTTTTTCAATCACTAATATGTCGGCTCGAAATTGCAGAATGATATAATCGAAATAGTGATGGATCAGTGTGGATCCGTGAATAATCGAAAATTAGCATTTATAGATAAATGCTTAGATTGTTTTCTAGCAGTTGTAAATACTTACGGCATTTTTCGAAAAATTGCCAAAATTGGTGAGTTGTGTAAAGTCAAGAGATAATATTGAAAACTGTGGAATAAGAACAATTAGAATGGTTATTTTTGTCTTGAGTCATGAATTGTAGTTTCGATACCAATTATTTTTAAAATCCTGTGAGCAGGAGATGATAGGTACATCTATGGGATTGTTACTGTCGGTCGTAGAACAACATTACAACTGCAACTTTTTCGAGAAATAAGTTTAGGTATTCTATTGTATCCCTAAATTTTACTTATATTCGAAGTAGTATTAAAGGTGCGATGGTGACAAATATTCTTTTTAACGATCAAACAAATATGCTTGCTGGTTTGCAAGACAATCGTCTTGTTGTATGGTTATTTCCAGCTACTGTCTTTATCGATCGTGATTTACTCCAAAAAACAATGTTTGAAGACGATGAGAACGATTTTGGGAAGTCTGCTTATTTATACAAGTCTGTTTATTATTCAATTTTTGGATGTAGAGAAACTTCGGGAGGAAAGCTTAGGATAAATCATTCTTACTTGCAATCCTGACTATTCGGTACAAGAACTAATTATTCTGTAAACCTAAAAAAAGCTCGCAAATAATGCTTTTAATCAGAACGTAGCGGATTAAAGCTATATCCACAGTGTGTTTATGTTTTTTGCTTTAGCTTTGTTGGCAGTCACATATCAATAAGACGTTCTGATGGCGCACTCATACCTTGCACTATAACGCCATTTGCATCTATTTTGAACGCATCTGTTAGTGCTAATAAATGGGATCAAGCAATTCGCCTATGTCGACACATGCGGGTAAGTTTGATTTTTGAATAAATATTGCAGATAGAAAGCAATTCTTGCTGAATGTTCGCATGCATTTGTGTGTTGGAAAGAGTGAAAAGATATTAGAGTTGTTGATCTCAAGCATGTCGATATTTGTCGTAAATATATCTCAAATTTCAGGAGAGCTATTTATGGGGAATGCTTGCGGTGATTGCTACCGATGCAAAAAATTTTTACGCGGCTGAAATTGCATATACCGCTCTTGACGAGGTAAAATTAATTTCAACAGAACAAATTGTAAATGATACTTTTTCAAGTTTTTTGTTTACTACTAAACTGATTTAAAACTGATAAGAGTTGTTTTTCATGCAGCTTTATTAAAATAAGTTGTGTATTTGTGAAAGGCTTTTCTACCTTGACTTAGTGACAGCTGTTAATTAAAATTAAGAGACAGTTAAAAAAGCTATGATAGATGAGTTAAAATCAAATAAGTTCAATGACAGCTGCTTAGTAATTTGTAAAAGATAACAAGCAATATCAAACAATGAAATTTGTTTGAAAGTTCAGTTCAGTTCACTTCACTTTCAAATTTTATAGCATGATATTTCAAATCATTAATAATTTTTTGTTCAATAGTAACAATTTTGTGCCATACACATGTTTTGAGCAAAGTGAGAAAAGTGAGTTTAATTTCAGATCGAAAAGGTGAAATTTTTATCACATTTGAGAGCAGAACAAAGTAATGAAGTTCGATTGGCAATGATGACTGCTTTTACAAAAAATTTTAAAGATGCAGATGCTATGCTTGTGCAAAACGGACATATCTTCCATGCTATAATGCTCAATATTTCTTTGTTTCGGTGGCAGCGGTTAGAATATCATTTGAAGAATTCCAGCGAATTGTTTTACTAATTTAACGTGACAACAGTGTTATTTAATAAAACCAAAGGAAAATTATTCTACTGTGAAATCATATGTAGCTTGCTTTCTTTTTGAAGAGCGCTTGAACTGGCGATAAAATACAAGGTACATTTGGAAACGGTGGTCGGTTATCGGCAAAAATATTTGCAAGAGATAGGGCGTAAAGAGATAGATCAGAGCTTCCTAAAATATCAGACCGAGGTAAATATCATGTTCAGAATTACTTTTTAGGATCGAAGATCCAATTCTGATTAAGGAACTTCTACCGGTTCATATTTTATAATTCTTTTGACTGCTCGATAATTACGAAAATATGTAAATTATAATAATGTGATATGACAAGCTAAATTTGTAGGTGGAAATCGACTGGAACCACATCCAACAAATCATACGTGAAGATGAAGCCCAGGATTTTTGAATTTTCTAAGAAAATTGTGAAATTTCTTTATGGCATTATTTTTGTCATATTACTTAGAAAACTTTCGCAGTGTTAAAAATAAAAATTAATAATTTGTACTACGCTTATTGTCGCTTTTACCAGCTTTGATAATTTAAAAAGAAAAAGATTTTTTCTGTGAATGAATCCGACAAAACAGTCATTGGAACTTCTAAGTAAAATATTTTTCCAGATATCATCTTGATTTTTGATTTTGAAAAAGGCCATTTGTCATCGTAAAATATATTTCATGAAGGAATTCGTCTGTTGATCTTTCAAAAATTAATTTTCAGCTTTTTTAAATGACTATTATGTTGTTAAAGTTCGAGACCGAGATTAGTTACTTGTTCTACTGGTCAAGTTTTTTTTTTCTTTTTTTTTTCTCAATTCTAAATTAATAAGCAGTAAGTCGTTATTAATACGCATCAGTATTATTCAGCGTTTTCATTTCTTCAAAGAAATCACATTAAAACAATTGGTGATATGCGATACCAATCGGAGGTCAGATTTTACGGAAGTAGGTGCACGGTACTCTCGTGCATCACGTCAATTATAGCTGTGCAGATTGTTGAAAGCATCTGCCATCGACTGCAACTGTGCAATGGACTTCTAAGATAGGTGCACCTGGAATTTAATGTGAGTTGGAAACTAAATAAAGCTGAACAAAATGTACTGCACCACAATTTACATCCTTTCCTTCCTTTATTATTTCAATCGAAATTATCGATTCTATTCAGCCACAAATGTTTGTGGACAGGATGTGAACGAGCTGCAGCTATAGTTGCCACTGCTATACTCTCTTTTTACTATGCTTTTATTTACTTTAACAACCACTTGCTCTATCCTTCTCTTTCGGTCCTGCTATGCATAGCTGTCCGGAACGATCACTTATTCATACCGTTCCAATTTTTTAATGAGTGGTTTTCATCTTTGTTGTCCATCGCATCATAATTGCTGTTATAGTAATAGTATAAGCGTAAAGCTTTTTATGATAAACTTTCTTTGAATTGTTGAAAGATAAGTCATCGCGATAGATAAAAATGAAATCTAATGATGAATTCATCGTAATTAATTGCATAATTAATCTTGTTAGCATCTCAGTATCTCTGTTTATCTCGATCATTTAACTATTATCAAAGAAGACAAAGCTCCTCAACCTAAAATGGGATAATTTAAGTATATGGAATCAGATCAACCACATTTGTCATTAGGAATGAATTTGCTAATCAACTGTCTCAGAAATGAGTAAACTCTGGGTGTAGTGCACCTTTATATTGCTTGTGCAATTACCTCACCCATTTTTTTTCTCAACCGCTGACCAAGGATTTCAGACAAAACAAAAAAGAAATGAAACGTTCGGAATACTTCACGTGCTGATAAGCATTGAATGCGTGAACGTACGCGGATGGCACTAATGCAGAACTTGAAAATCTTTCCTTAGCCTGTGAACAAGGGTAAGCATGATTCAGCCTATTTGATTCATATCCATTTCTCCTTTCACTGTATTTTTGTTTTAAAGTTTCATTTTAAACGAGTAATATTGATGACTTCACCTTTTAGTCTAGCTTACTTCACTGAAATCCACAGTATCCTTTCTAAACAAAGTGTCACTTTGCCAATAAGACGAAAACTGATAAGTTTTAAAGGAAAAAGAAATTTGCTGAAGATGAAATATTGGATTAATGTTCCGAAAATTTGACTTTTTCCCTTTCTATATATTGATATACAATAATCTATTTCGCATCGATGGATATTATTCCGTTGTTTTATTAACATACGAAGATTATCATGATTATGGACTTCCTTTTACATACTTTATTACCAATGTCCTTTTGCACATTCATGCATTCATTTTCATTAAAAATTCGGCCGTTAAAATTGGTATTTTGTATGAAACAATACCAATTTTTTGATTTTAGAAATATATGCTATTGTCAAATAGAATTAAAAAAATTACTGGTTGAAGTATTCCTATCTGAAAATAGTATCACAATTGAGAAAGAAAAAGAAAAATAGGCCTAGCAACTATAGGCGAAGCTATGGTCATAGCTAGTGAATTTGTGAAAGAGTAAGAAAAGGTGGAAGACATTGTTCATTTTTGCATACCGATCGATGTCGAATGCCGTCGATTCAAGCTTCTCCCCGGTATTCTTCCCTTTAAAACCCTTTTACTTTTATTATTGATATACAATATTGTTTGTCAAATGGCTACTTTTAGCAGCAACTCTAAGCTGGTCAAAGCTTCCTATAAGAAAAATCAGTATTTGCAGCTGAGAGCAGGGAAGTAGCGACAGGCAGTTTCATCTCCCACTTCTCATCTGCATTCGTTTACTTTTCCGGTTATTTAATCTGAAATATTTTCAACATTGGCTTTGAATTTGCAACGCTAACAAATAAATGCTTCCCTTTATTTTTGCCATGGGAATATATTTCTTCAATTTTCAAAATTTTTGGGAAAACATTTTGATTGCCTCTGTGAACACCGTCATTCATTTTTTTATCAAATCTGTTCAAAACAGTGCTATTCATTTACTTTTCACGAACCCAGTCTCATGAAGAATGTGGCGTATATGTAATAAATACAAAAAGTGGCGTATATGCAATCTGGGAGAAGCACAAAAAAACATACAATTCCGGAATGTTGTACAAGTGTAGTATTCTTAGTGCTAGTAACCGGAATATCTGCATAGGAATTTTTAGTTTCTTTCTTTGTGTTAGGTTGAGATATATGACGCGTATTGAAATGCAGCTGCACATGGAAGTGGGGAGAACGCTTTAAAATTTATAAGACGTGAAATTTCAAGTGGAAAAGTTTTCAAGGATGAGATTTTTCGTTCATGGGGAAGTGAATTAGCAAACAGTAGCATTAATGTACTGCATATAATGGGTTGCACAAGTGACAAGTGAACAATCGAATATTTGAAATTGACTGTAGAAAAATTAAAAAGCTGATAGGAAGAAAGACTGACTAAATGTTACGCTCAGCCACTGCTTTGAATTTGGTTAAACTACATTTGGAGCCAATTCAACTCAGTATACGGTCTATCTATATGCGATACGGTTGAGAAAATGTAAATTTGAAATACAGTTTGATTTGTGTTTAATTTAATAGTTATATTTCGCCTTTGCTCCAAGTTCAACCTTCCATATTGTCTGAGGAAGAAAAGAAAAAGGCAGGCTATGCAACTGCATGTTACATTAAGAAACCATAAGCTTGTACTTAGAGTCTGTCGCCATCTATTGAAATCACTACCGCCTACTTTCTCATAATATCCATTAATTATCTACTTTTTTGCTTATTTTGTATTTGCATAAGTCTTCAAATGCAATTATTAGTTTACTGTATCTACTAATTCATTTATTCTATCCATTTTGTCCGTAGCTTGCAGGCAATGCAATCAATTGTTTAGTCCGAGGTAATCACGAATGATTTGAAAGACACAAGTTCTGAATATTTCGGTATTTTTTGCTGAATGTTTTAAATGTTACGAAATATTACTTTTTTACATTAATTAATTGTGAACTATAATTGGAAGTTTAATTCGTCTTCAGTTTCCCACACAATATTTGAACGTTGAGTTTATGCATTCCCATCATTTCCTGCATTTTTTGTTTTTTTGTGAAAAATTTAATTAATCGATTTAGTGATAGCAATAATAAGGTATGCTCTTTCTCCTGTGTGAATTTGAAATAAAAATTCATGACATCTCCTAACTTCTGGAAAATTTTGTCTAAATAAAAGATTGACAATTAACAGCCATCAAGCACAATTATTAAGCTTAGTTCCATAAATATGAAGGAATGGTTATTAGGTCCAGCAAGTAGCACGAATGAAAGTAATGCAGTGCGCAAGATGATTCATTTTAAGAAATAATTCAACAAAACATAGCAGCGATAGGCTTTTACAAATTATTTTTTCTTTTACTCATTATTTTTGACTGCTTGTGAAAAAATTAATAAAGAAAAGATAAATCGCCTTATTTTCATCTGTTCAACATAATAATTATATTCTGGTCAAGAACAAATTTTTTGTTTCATAGTGGTTATAATCGAAAAGTGTCAGAGTCCGAGTGGAGACCACTTCTTAATGCAGACATGCTTTATCGCTATATAAACACAATTTCGTTGCGATGTAAATGACATTTAACTCCATCATCACCAGGCGGCGTTATTGTGATGCCTGTTTAAACACTACTCAACAAGGTACACAGAATTGTGTTGATACATCGACCTACGGATCAGTTGTCACATTTTCACCTTTCTTTGTTTCTTAGCTAACTTAGTAGAAATAGACTGATTCCCATTTAGAGAGTACAGATTCTTTGAATTTGGCATCCATCTTATTCGATTCTTGAGAAAAAGGATGCAATAGGATTATTGACTTAGAAAATAGAACTAATGTAATAAATGGGGATGGCTAGATAATACTTTCCACTTCCGCTGGTCATTTTTCATTTTCTTTTTTTTCTTTATTAAATTCTTACCAAAAATCTCAGTTTAAATTGTTTTCTGAAAGTTTATATAGCCTTCCAGTTTCTTTCAGTAATAGCATGCTTTGAAATGCTTCATAGTACTTGTGAATCTTCTTCATATGTATGTATGTTTATTAACGATTTCCAATTGTGATGCTAAAAATGTGCATGCGCTAATGGTTGTGGCCAAATGCCTCTTCCGCTTCCGATTATTTATGACGAATTATTGACAAACCAGTCAGTTATTGAACTAACATTTTTCAAACCAACTGAGGCCAACTTCTCCGTCTTAAAAACATTAGTCATTTGAAGTTTTTATGACAGTGTATCATATCATGCAGCATAGTCCAATAAGCGCCTCATTTTTCTTGTTATTCCTACCAACCTCTGTCCCATTTTTTTTCTAATTGTTGTTCTCAAGAGAAATAGTTTTTAAGTAAAGATAGAACGAAAGAAAGGAAGGGACAAAGGTCACATTCAAATGTGAGTGCTTTTTTGTAGAGACTTTTA